CTGGCATCCGAAGCGGCTGGATCCGAAGCCAGATCGAATAGTTGCCTATTTGCACAGGCCTACAGAGGAATAGTTCAGGAAGAGGGGAGAAAGCAGAGTAAGGGATCAGACCAGGGCAAGGGGGTTGGGGTGGCATTCAGGGAGGGGTTGTGGCTTATTTTGTGGCATCCTGGCCAAAAAGTTTGGTTCTCCCTGGTCTAAGTAGTATAGGTTTATATCAAATTTCACCATACATCTATTTTTATTTTATTGTTGCTATATGTAATAGTTTCCTTCAAATGTATTGCTCATAAATTAACATTGCTTAAGCCTAAACTGCTTTTTAGTCTACAGGATGGATACAGATAAGCAGCAATAGTAAAAACTGCACCAAGAGCACTTGGCCAGATGTGACTCAGACTTCACCTGCTCTTAACATTTCTTACATTTTAAATGCATATCAGAGAATTGAGCTTTATATTCATTACATTCCATTAACTTTGGAGATATTTTCAAGGTTCCCTTTATTCTTTAACCTTCACTATGTCTCTTTAATTACAGTAATGCATATCATGAAAACATATGTGGCTAAAGGAATAGAACAGGGTGATACATTTTGGCCCAGCATCCCTGCCACTTCAATGCCTATGCTAACCTCACTCTCCTGCTTTTCCAGATGGCTTTTCTATGCCTTTTTATACTTTCCTTGACAAAAAGAACATGACCCTTCTAGTTTTTCCCTCCCAGTGATGTTTCCTCCCAACTGTGCTTGCCCTGTGGATAGGAGGGAGGAGATAGAAAGATCTTGGATCCTTCCCTGGAAACACAGCTCTTAGTTATCATGCTTCTCTACTCAATGCCATATGGATTAAACCATTCTCTGTCTCTCTGAGCCCTGTTCCACCAGGTTTCCCTTGGCTCCTATGGTGCTGCAGCTGCAGAACCTGCAGGAGAGATGGGGGAGAAAGAAGCACATATGCTACAGCACTTCTTCCTGCTGTCCCATGATAGACTCTCTTCTGTCTCTCTGAGACAGCACTAGGAAGGCTAAAAAGCACCAGGAGGCAGAGACGGTGGTAGGACAAAGAGTCTGGCCCAAAGGGAATGTGGGGATCAAGGCTGAACAGAAGGAACAGTAAGGATAATAAGAGGGTGTGAGTGAATGTGTCCATGTATTTGAGTGATTGAGACTGAAAGAAGGGGGGAACTGGAGAGCAAAAGATGCTAGTTTTGGGAGCTATAGTGGAAGCAGAGTAGCATGGAATAGAGAAGACAACGTGGATCTAGATGGTGAGGTTGAATATGCATTCATATAGTCTCTCTTGGGTAAGTCTCTGCAATAAGTCCTCTCTTTGTACTGAGGTAAGGAAGCTTCCATGGGTTTGATTTTGGAGGAGGATAGTACTGCCAGTCTGAGAGTGGGAATGGGGCACACAAAGTAGAGGAAAAGGGACAGAGCAGGAGTGGGGAGAGAGGTAGAACTCTTTGAGGGAAGGATGGAGAGAACAGCATAGGAAAAGGAGAGGAAGGGGATCTGTGGAGGAGGACAGCTTTTGCATAATGTAAAAATACTATTGAGGGGATAATAGACAGGGAAGACAGGCGAAGATAATTAGATAGCAAAGGAAATAATGGAGGAAAAGGGAGAAGATGAATGCAAGGGAGACAAAATCAGTTTTAAAAAGTTAATCAAATAATATACATGTCAGAATGATACAGTCAATAAGAACACGTAGGGAGCTTTAAAAAAATGGAATGGGAAACAATGTGCTATGAAGATAGGATTGAGGTGTGATTAGAGTCAGCACTGGCTGGCTGCCCTGGCACTTTCCCATGACATGTCTTTCTTTTATTAAAAAAATTTTCTTCCCTCGCTCTCCCTGCTATCTTCCCCTCCCTCCCTGCAAATATTTTATCTGGTTGCACATATGCCTATAACTTTTTCCATCTGTTTATTACCCTTTGAAGTTACATTGCAGGAACATCTCTTTCACTTTTGGCATTGGGATTATTATCTCTTAGCTTTGAACCTTTAACTGGTATAGAAAATGCTAACTTGCCTTCTGAGAAAGTAATTCAGAAAGAAAAAAAACAATTAGACTTTATACTTTGTTTTTCCTTCTCCCACATCTTCCCTGAGAAGTAACTGGCATATAGTACTGTGTAAGTGATAGAAAAAAAAGAAGAAAGTGGAGACATTATATGGGAGCACGTTGCATGGAGGTGTAGGGATAAGGTGTAAATTATCTTGAATGTCAAACAGGCAGAGGAAGCTGCTTTCTGTACTTACCACTGCCACCAGTTTAGTGGGGAATTGCATGCTTTCTTGCTTAGGTAGAGGAAGACTGAGTTATAAACTCAGCTAGGTCTCTCATACCCACGATAGCAAGCCATCCACTCTCTTGCAGTCAGCCTTCTCCCCCAGTCAGGCCACCTTTCCTGCCCAAGCCCCTCCCAACCCTAGCCTGGATCCTTGAGAAGATCATCAAGGAGCACATTTGTGATGGGCCGGCATCAGAAATGATGCTCAGGGGTAATCAGCATGGATTTATTGGGGGGAGATCATGTCAGACCAACCTGATTGCCTTCTACGATCAGGTCACAAAGGCCATGGATGCAGGTGTCGCGGTGGATGTAGTCTTTCTGGACTTCAGCAAGGCCTTTGACACCGTCTCTCACCCCATCCTAGTTAAAAAACTAGGCGACTGTGGCATCGATGCCTACACAGTCAGATGGATTGCAGATTGGCTGAGGGGTCGCACTCAGAGGGT